CTACAGTACTCATAAATTGCTTACCACCAGCTCCCAAAACATCTGTCTTCCCTAATGAACACCCTAACTACGGTAACCCTAGGCAAATTGTGCCCCAGCCACCTGGCTTCTTCCACAACCATCCCTCCCGGTAGAGTGTGTCTCACCCAATTGGATTTGTCCTGATTTTGGGGGATACAATGGGCATACTAATTGGACACAGCTCCCAAATTAGGGAGGGGCAGTGCGACCGTGAAATATTGTTAGACACTCCGGGGTTTCATTGGCATCTGTAGACGATTGTTGACAAATATTTAAAGGGGTTGCAAGTGATAAACTGGATTTTTCAGACCCCTACCAAATCCTCGGGCCGACATGCACGCGATTGGCGCATTCCGGAAGTGGCCAGACACAGTTGTGGCAATTTTTAATGGAGCTGTTAGCCGATCAGAGGTGGGTAGATGACCAAAGACTTCAAGGAGTACCGTCTTACTATGCCAGACGATTTATAAACATGCATCCCTTTCAGAAACGCCGAAATCATCACTTGGGAGGGGTCGCAGGGCGAGTTCAAGCTGGTCGACCCGGATGAGGTGGCTAGGTACGGTATTTTAAATCTGGTTTTGTTTTAAAGGACCCTTCAAGGCAAATCTTGTAGATTTTGCATGTTTAAAGGACCCTCGCAGGCAAAACCTACCAAAAAATTGTTTAGAAAATGGGGAGAGCGCAAATCCAAGCCGAACATGAACTACGACAAGATGTCCCGCGCCCTACGATACTACTACGATAAGAATATTATGTGCAAAGTCCACGGGAAACGCTACGCATACAAGTTTGACTTCCAAGGTGAGAGAGAGAGAGAGAGAGAGGGAGACAGAGAGAGCGAGAGCGAGAAAGAGAGAGAGAATTATCAAAAAATTTCTAGGCATCGCCGCCGCCATGCAGCCCCAACCCGGAGCGCCAGATTACTTGTCCGCCTCCTCGGTTGGTCGTCTCCATCAGGACTTCATCAACAGCGGCTGGAGCGCGGCCAACTATCGGTCGTTGATTCCGACTGGATTCCAGGTAAATTAATGGGTTTTTTTTGCTTGATCCCTCCATCCACTTTACTCCCTCCCACTTGCTCTTTCTATCTCGCCCTCTCCCTCTCTCGCTCTCTCTTTCCCGAGCTAGAAAGCTAGAAAGCTAGAGAGAAGGAGAGAGAGAGTGAGCAAGAGATAGGAGAGAGATAGAGAGAGCGAGAGACAGAGAGAGAGATCGGAAGACAGAGAAACTACGAAACGCAGAAACACTTACCCTACTATACCTTGTGTAATCGATTACGCCATTCAATACAAGAATTTTCCGTAGCTATAGTATCCGAAAAATTTTGTTTCTTACAACTTAACATAATTTTGACTTTTTCAGGCATCCGGCGGTCTGTTCGGGGCTGGCTACGGTGGATTCCCGGCTCCCACGCATCCGCTTCACGCTCGGAATTTCAATCTGTACAACGCGGCAGCAAATTACTCGTCAAAATGTCTATAAAATTCTAGTTTTAGCTTTCTCTCGCTCTCTCTCTCTCTCTCTCTCTCTCTCTCTCCTTCGTTACAGTTTTTGCGTGTGTTTTTCTGCATCCCCTAGTGCCCTCCCGCCATTAATGTGCCGATACTCCCCAAAAACCTTTGATCTCACCACCCCACTTCCTACGGGAATTTTATTACATTAAATTTAGTATTTTTTAACGATCTATGCGAATTTTTCGCGATGCTACTATTTGCGACTTGCGTACAGAGTTGTGATCCGGAGTGTGTATTTTTGCATTGTTTGGATTTATTTCGATTTCGCAGTCATTTCGATGCGATAAAACGTCAAAATTGACAGATACGGGACAGTAGTAGGCACTTTTAAAGGAGCCGGCAAGGCAGGGTGGGTGGGAAATGCTTTAAAGGGATGGTGACAGACAGAAAACAGATGAAAACTTTACTTTTTAGCTGAAACCTATTCTTTAATTTGTTAACTACCGTACCCTACCGTACCGCCGTATCCTACAGCACGAAACGGCTTAAAAACATAAAAAATTAGCATATCAACAGTAAAATTTCGAAAGTTTCCATCCAAGACCTGAAAAATCCGTTTTTAGCACAATTCGAATTTTTTCCGATATTCTACAGTACCCTACCGTATCCACCGTATGCGGCTCTATTTTCTGGTAATTCTGCTTTACCAAAAATAAACCGTTTCTAGTTGTTTTGCGTACTTTTTGGGTCGATAACCGGCCAAAGGTGCCCGAGGGGATGGATATCCGGTGGGACACGGCTGCAGTGTTTGAAGGTGGGTTTAAAGGACCGTTGCAGGCAAAAAGCGATGGAGACAGACTTTAATAACTCTTGAAAACTCAGAAAATCGACCAGCCGTGGATGCGCAACTACACCGAGGCGCACGACATGTGCGCCAAGGAGAGCGCGCTGCCCGTGGATTTGAGCGACAATCGGACGTACAACGATTTTATAGGTGTGAGAGAGAGAGATCGAGAGAGAGAAAGAGAGAGAGAAAGAGAGAGAGAGAGAAAGAGAGAGAGAGAGAGAGAGAGAGAGAGAGAGAGAGAAAGAGAGAGCGAGAGAGAGAGAGAGCGAGAGAGAGAGAGCGAGAGAGAGAGCGAGAGAGAGCGAGAGAGAAAGAGAGAAAGAATGAGAGATAGAGAAAGAGAGAGATAGATAGAGAAAGAAAGAGTGATATAAAGAAAGAGAGAGATAGAGAGAGAGAGAGAGGGAGAGAGAGAGAGAGAGTGAGTGAGAGCGAAATCGAGATAGAGAAAGAGAGATGGAGATAGGGTGAGAGAGAAAGAGAGAGAGAGAATGAGAGAGAGAGAGAGAGAGAGAGAATGAGAGAGGGAGAGAGACCATTCCAGCCCTCAACACCTTCCGAGCCCCCATCCTGAAGGATCGACCGGATCCCATATTCTGTTATCAGGTAACTTCCGCTTCTCAGTCTTCCACTCGTCCTGTCAAGAAACCGGTCTACGCGCTGCTGAAGACTGCCGAGTATCGAGGTGAATATTGCCCTGGGGTGAGTGATTTTTACTGGCAGAAGATTTTTACTTCCCCCCCCCCGCTAACGGTCTAGTACCGTAGTGAAGTACTGCGAATTTCTTAGATTCTCCTCCACGCCGACGGCTGCTCTAAACACCAGCGCATCGAATACGCATGCGTGGCAAGCCCGGGCTCTTCCCAGTACCTCGGCGTCATTTGCCAATGGACCCACGGCAAGAAGATGCACCAGGCGGAGAAGGTGGCCGTCGCGCAGTTAAGGTGGGTATCTGACGTAATCGAAACCTCAAAATTCCAGAGCGAAAGCCGACGCAAGTGAACTACAAGCAGGCCTGTTGGTTATCCTGATATTTGACGTGTTGATGTTGATGATCATCCTCTCAATCCTCATCTACGCATGTCGAGCCACTGGAGAACAGAGAGATTTCTTGAAAGGAGTAGGGAAGATGGAAAGGAAATGCTCATCTACTGACTCAGATTCGTCTCCTTGATCGTCGACTACTTCGCCAAGAAATGCCGCCACATGGTATTGAGCCCGTCATCTCCGAGGTGGGCAGAGAGAGAGAGAGAGCGAGAGAATCATCTTTCCAGCTCGGTCTCCACGTCGACAAATGGCGCAACGATCGCAAGGTGGAATACGAGAACAGCGACATGGTCAAGTTTGCGATGAGGCGTGAGAAGATGATCTCCGGTGCGTCCCTCAACCTCGTCAAGTACATCAACTATAGAGATGCGATCGGTGATGTTCATCGGTCGTTTCGCGCAGAAGAAGAAGAGCGAGAAATCGGAGATGGACGAGACGGAGAGCTCGGGGAAGGCGAAAGCAGATTTGAATTCGAAGATGAGGACCGAGTTCGAGGTGGTCAATAAGGTGAGGAATCGAGAGATTCTGGCCCTCTCTCTCACTCTCCCAATCTCACGTTTTCTTCCAGGTCCCTCGTGTTTCCTCGACCAATATTCCGGGCCGTCCTGCTCAAACTTCCGGAGGAGCCACTAGACGTCAAACTTCTGCCAACCCTCCCCTTCCATCTTTTGCTGTACAGCGTGTCCCATCGGCATTGAAAACACAAAAATCTGACGTGAGCCTTCCTGGGCCCATGAAAAATCCAAGTTTTTTCAGTCCGACCCTGCCGGTACCGAGGACAAGACACAGGGCGGCAAGCAGAAGGATGAAGAGGTCGAGTCGCTGTAGATGAACAACTACCGCGAGAAGGGAAAAGAAGAGAATGTTACTAGTGTGTTTTTAAAGGAGCTGGAGAGAGATGGATGTGTTTTGTGTGTGTTGTGATACTGATTGTGCTCCGCTTCACGAGATAAAGATGAAAAAGGAAATCTCTCGCCCTTTCTCTCGCTCTCTCTCTCTCTCTTTCCTTGTCTCTCTCTCTTTCTCTCTTTCTCTCTCTTCACTCACTGGTCAGAAAAGCATTGCAAATTAGCATACAAAGATTAATTCTCAAAAATCTGGCCAGGACACAAATCCGCTTTTTACGGTCATTTCTGCTCATCTACCGTTTTCTACAGTATCCTACCGTATCCACCGTATGCTCCTCTATATTTTGGTAATCATACCGTACCCAAAATTTTATCGTATCTAGTTATTCTGCGTACTTTTCGGCGCAGCCGGCACCCTACAGCAATGCCCGCGCGGCTGGATGGTCGGCGGACCGAACCTACAATGTCTGAAGGTACTTTTAAAGGGCCGTTGAAGGCAGGAAAACTAGTGGGACTTTGGCAAACAGCCAATTTAGCCGCAGGACCATTTTTGATCGTTTTAAGGGGCCAATGAACGCCGATTTCAGCAATTCGACGAGCCATGGATGGACAACTACACCGTGGCGTACAACGTCTGCGCCCAGAAGTACGCCTTGCCGCTTGATTTGCCGGACAACGAAACTCGTGACGAATTTTTAGGTGCTGAAGGAAAATTGGCGGTTTTAAAAGCCGTACCTAAATTTGGCTAGAAAGATTTATAGAAATAAGCAAACTAATTTTATTTGTTTTTCAGAGCTGGACGGCTTCACGGCGGGGTATCTCAAGGGACCAACGGACAGGGCCTGTTTTAACGTAGGTTTCTTAAAGGCCCCTGCAAGGCATGGATGCATGTTTTGGGACTGGTCTCTTAGCGGGGGGAGGACTAAACTAATTTTTTCGAGTAATCCCGTAGGGTCCCATAACAAAATACAGACAGTTTTTTTGGCATTTTCAGACTTCGTAAAAAATCTGTAAAAATTTTCGCAAATTCTTTGGTCAAAAATGTATGTAAAATGACTAAAAAACATAGATGGGTATGACTCCAGATAACCCCCTCCCCCAGTCGGCCCCAACTTTTGTATCTCGGCTCCCTGTTCATCTACAGTTGTGTAAAGTATGCCAAAATGTTCGTTTTGCTTTAGCGAGTATTTTGGGATACTGTACACACCTTTAGATGAACAGGGAGTCGAGATACGGTAGGCGGGGGCCTGAGGGGGGTTATCCGGGGTTCAGCCCGTAGATGTTTTCGAATTTTTAATTTTATTTATTGTTTAAGACTTTGTTGTAGCCCCGCCACCCCTCGCTAACAGTCCAGTATCGAAATTTCATGGTTTTTGCCATGCCAGATAAGGAATTCGTGCATTTCGCGCATTGTGTGTTGCGGCGTGGCAAAATCGCAAACCATTTTGAGATGCCCGTCTACGCCCTGCTTCAGCACAACCCACAGGCGAAAAAGTGCCCGGCGGTCGGTTAGCTCTCTCGCTCTTGCTCTCTCGCTTTCTCTCTCTTTCTCGCTCTCGCTCTCTCTCTCTCTTTCTTTCTAGCTCTCTCGCTCTCTCTCCGTTTCTCTCTCTCTCGCTCTCTCTCCGTTTCTCTCTCTCTCTCTCTCTCTCTCTCTCTCTCTCTCCCTTTCTCGCTTTCTCGCTCTCACTCTCACTCCGTCCTATGGATTCTTACAGATTCTAATCCACGAAAATGCGTGCAAACGCAATACGATCATCACGTACCCGTGCGGAACGTCCCTCGGCACCAAACCGTACATCGGCGTCATCTGCCAATGGAGCCACGGCAAGAAGAAGATCCAAGCGGAGCAGGCGGTCGTCGCTCAATTGAAGTGAGTAGCTTCGGGCCCCTGTCCTTTTCCTAACTAGCTTGAAAGTATCTAGAACGAGAATCCTAGTTGTCGAGACCCAGCCCGCCGAGGGGGTCGATTGTGGCTGCTTCCTGGCCCCTTTAAACCTCAAAATTCCAGAGCGAAAGCCGACGCGAGTGAACTACAAGCAGGCCTGCTAGTTATCCTGATATTTGACGTGTTGATGTTGATGATCATCCTCGTAATCCTCATCTACGCATGTCGAGCCACTGGAGAACAGAGAGATTTCTTGAAAGGAGTAGGGGATGGAGAGGGGATGATCATCTACTGACTAAGATTCGTCTCCTTGATCGTCGACTACTTCGCCAAGAAATGCCGCCACATGGTATTGTGCCCGTCATCTCCGAGGTGGGCAGAGAGAGAGAGAGAGAGAGAGAGAGAGAGAGAGAGAGAGAGGGAGAGAGAGAGAGCGAGAGAATCATCTTTCCAGCTCGGTCTCCACGTCGACAAATGGCGCAACGATCGCAAGGTGGAATACGAGAACAGCGACATGGTCAAGTTTGCGATGAGGCGTGAGAAGATGATCTCCGGTACGCTCCTCAACTTCGACAAGTACACCATCCTTCAGAGATGCGATCGGTGATGTTCATCGGTCGTTTCGCGCAGAAGAAGAAGAGCGAGAAATCGGAGATGGAGGAGACGGAGAGCTCGGGGAAGGCGAAAGCAGACTTGAATTCGAAGATGAGGACCGAGTTCGAGGTGGTCAATAAGGTGAGGATTAGAGCGATTTTCGCTCTTTCTCTCTCTCCCACGTTTACTTCCAGGTCCCTCGCGTTTCCTCGACCAATATTCCGGGCCGTCCTGCTCAAACTTCCGGAGGAGCCACGAGGCGTCAAACTTCTGCCAATCCTCCCCGTCAATCTTTTGCTGTTCAGCGTGTCCCATCGGCATTGAAAACACAGAAATCGGATGTGAGATTTTTTCTAGAACCCGTGAGCAATGCAAACCTAGAATCCTCTTTGGCCTTAGGGCCTTTAAAAGCTGCATTTTTCAGTCTGACCCGGCCGGCACGGAAGACAAGACCCAGGGCGGCAAGCAAAAGGATGAGGAGATCGAATCGATGTAGATGAACCACAGCAACAAGACGGATGCGATTTTCCCAGCTTTTTTTTTAAAGGAGCTGGAGTGATGAATGTGATTTGTGTGTTGTGATACTGATTGTGTTCCGCTTCCTCGAGATAAAGATGAAACACCGAAAATTGCATCGATTTTTCGTTCGATATATCTCTCTCTCTCTCTCTCTCTCTCTCTTAAACCACATTTCAATATCTTTATCACTCCGCCGCGAATTTCAATGAGACGGGCACACGGGATTGTAGAACTGCTCGGGGTCGTCGTCAAAGTTGAACGTGTAGTGGTCCTTGAAGTTTTCTTTGCCAGCTAAAATAGCGATAGCCCGGTAGATGATCATGTGCTCACGATCGACAGCACACTTGACGTCCTCCTCCTCGGCGCACGAGGTGCCGACGGCCTCCAGGCCATCCTCCGACTCGCGTAGGATCATCGACTCCTGGGAGGAGACATTGGGTTTAAAGGGGCAGGCAAGGCAGGACTGTATTTTTTTATGGCTTTAAGCCGATTTTACGCATCCCTTTAAGAGTTTCTCTAGGTAAAAGAAACTTGGCGGTTCTGGTGCATTAGCAGGGGAGTCTAGCGGAGGTAAGGCCACGCCCACCTGATTTTCCATGTGGAACTAGGCCGATGGAGAGCCCCCCTCGCTACCGAACCAGTCCCAACTTGTATACTGTAGGATTTATTATGCTACGCAGCAGTACGCTTCAGTACGTTGAGGTACTGTAAACAGAGGCTCACCCCAGCATGGAAGTAATTGTTCTTGTAGACGACGGGTTTGGCCTGGGTGTCTTCGGCGAGTTTGGGTGGGTGACGCTGGAACAGGGTTGGAGGGAGCGAAGGAGAGAGATAGAGAGATAGCGAGAGAGAGAGAGAGAGTGACAGAGAGAGAGTAAGAGGAGAGAAAGAGAGAGAGAGAGAGAGAGAGAGAGAGAGAGAGAGAGAGCGCTAGGGCGAGTGACTTCGAGAGAGCACGAGAATGAAGGAGCATGAGAGTGCGAGAAAAACGAGACTCAGAGGGCCCAAGCGGGAGAAAGAGAGCGAGAGCGAGAGAGAGAGGGAGAGAGAGGGGGAGAGAGAGAGAGGAATATCCAGAAAACCCTTACCTGAAAAGGATCATTATTCCAATAAGCCCTATGCCCCTGCACGTTGTTCATAAAATAATGTGCATAGTCCTGGAACGGAATTCTACCGTCATTGCGTATCTTTTCGTATTCCCACCCCATTCCCGCATCTCGGCGTATTATAGACAAAAGAGTGCACATGCTCCGCGGGCCACTCATTCTTCTTCACCACCGTCATCGCCAACATTTGGGCCACGCAGCCACCGAGGGAGTGGCCTTGGAACTAAAAAAAATATTTAGGGCTTCAAAAGCTTCGCTTTACGCTAAGGTTTTTATGCAGGATGCGTAACGGTAAAAGCTATTGTCTGTAAAAATTTCGGAACAAAATATAGAAAAATCACAAAGTTATGACCAAAAAACCGCAAAAATTTCGCCAAAAATTCGAAATTTTTCGTGTTTTTGTCATAACTTTTTCATTTTATGTGGATATTGTGCTATAGATTCCGCATCGATTCTGAAAATTCGGAAATCCAAGATTTGATTTCACAAGAGATTCGTCGCCCTAAAGGATCATCGAGGTCGCGGAAAGCTGGACGCAAAACCTACCACAAGCTTATGCTCGGCGTATTTACCCTTCCAATTGATTAGATTTTCGGAAGAACTGAAAATTGAGAATTAGAGGAGAGAGCGAGAGAGAGAGCAAGAGAGAAAGAGCAAGAGAGAGCGAGAGAGAGAGAGAGAGAGAGAGAAAGGCGAGAGAAAACTTACTTGATTTTATTCCACACCGCTTGCCAAGGTTTGATCAGATACTCGGCAACTTTTACTTTGCTGTGATCGGTGCAATGGAATGAGGGCAATTGAATGAGCGCCTAGAAACTTATACATTAAACTGGAACGAGAGAGCGAAAGCGAGAGAGCGAGAGAGCGAGAAAGCGAGAGAGCGAGAGAGAGAAAGATGACGTACCTGCTCGTCCAGGGAATTTAGCGCCTCCTGATTCGCGTAGGCCTTCAGATCGGCTGGCCCGGTCACCCAGACGAATATCACCGGGAAATCGTGCACATGGGATCGGACGGCCTGAATCGTAAAATCGGAAAACAAAATCGGAATGGTAAATCGGCCTGAATGGTCCGCAATAATCACTTCTAGCCTGCCCTTGCAGCTGATCTCGGGAAATTTCGGAAAACTCCTACCCCAACCTTCATCTTGCCCCACACGCCCATATCGGCAAAGTCGACCCTGAAACGCGAGAATCGAGGTAAAACCACGCTCATTCGATTACGTCATTAAATGATGGATGCCGAGGTGGGATTGGTTGCCAGCTTGTTTTTCGCAATTCACGGAATCAGAGCTGATCGAGGAGAGGCCTATGCGCATTAACTGGAAAAGAATTAAGAAGTGTTCTCTCTCTCCTGCTCTCTCTCGCACTCTCTTCCAAACTCTTTCTCTCTATCGCTCTCTCTTCCGATCTCTCTCTCTCTTACTCTCTATCTCTCTCCCTCTCTATCTCGCTGTCTTTCTTTCTCTCTCGCCTGCCTTGGATCCTAAAACTCAATCGCCCACCTCATTGGTGTCCCTCTTCGCATTATCCTGCCAATGCCTATCAAAATAGCTCTTCCGCGTCCATTGATCACTATCAATATCAGAACCAAGAGGGGCAGATTGGCCCATTGCCAGGAAGAAAATTAGACATATCGATTCCGGGCCCATCCGGCTGGTTGTCTTCGACCGTACAGTAGCGGAAAAGGAGCCCCCACCCGAGTGCCGTTTCGTGGAATTTCAGGCAAAAGTGGGTGGTGGAAAATTAATGTGAAAAGGGGATGTGTAGAATTTATTAATTCTGGCTTTTGGGGGAGTAGAAACAGATTGTAGGTAGCTCTTGTTGTTTCGTCCTCTCTCGCCCTGTCTCTGTCGTGCTCACAGCTCTCGTGCTCTCTCTCTGTTTCTCTCGCGCTGTCTATCTCGTGCTCTCTCATGCTCCCTCGCCCTGTTTCTCTCACCCTGCCTCTCTCGTGCTCACTCGCCCTGTCTCTGTCGCGCTCCCCCCTCTCCTGATCTCTCGCTTTCGTTCTCTTTCGCTCTCTGGCTCTTGTGCTCTCGCGCTCTGTTTCTATCACGTTGTCTATCTCGTGCTCTCTCGCTCTGTCTCTGTCGTGCTCCCGCTCTTGCGATCCCTCGCTCCGTCTCTCTTGTGCTCACTCTCTCGTGCTCTCCTTGTCTCTCACTCACTTTCGTGCAATTATCAATACTCAATTTATACACAACTTTATCCAAATTCCACAATGATCCTCTGCTCGGCGCATTAATGATAGCAATGACCACGAATAAATATACACTGCGTTTACCTCAAAAATGACAATTCCATTACAGTACTCTGCTCAGGTAGAAAGCCGTAAATAAGTAGTGGAACGGAGCGGAAATTGGATTTTTCTCATTACTTTTGCTGAGCACACGGGCCGGATAAGTATACGGTAAGTGGATACGGATACGGTAAGATACGGTAAGACCAAAAAAAAGAACGTAATAAACCGAGACGGGCGGTACCTGTGAATTCGGGAAGTGGAAAGGCGCGGAAATCCATAGAGGGAGGAAAATGCAAAAATGACAAGTCCAAAAAAGTTTTAAAAACTACAAATTACAAATATCACTTAAGAAAACCTCAAAAATGACAATTAGTATACCGTAGCGCCACTGACTATGGTAAGCAACTTGGGGGGAACGGGGGCAATTTCAGGGGGGCAAAACTAAAGCGCGACCACCGGCAGGGAGTACAAAAATCGGGTAAATCAGAACTATTATTAAGCAAAAAATCACATTTAAGATACAGTACATTACAGTACACCAAAAAGCGCATATTTTACAAATATATTGTTTTTGCAGGAATGCGGCTGAAAGCATATGTTTTGTCGGGTATACGGTACCGGATCGGACGGCAGGGCGGGCAGGGACGCTGACGAGCTTCTGAAAAATGGGATTTTTTTTGGGAAAATTTGCTTATTTTTGGTTTTAAAGGGACGAGACGCCTATTTGTCGATTTTGAAAAAACCATAATTGTCATTTTTTGTTTTTAATGGGTTGCTATGGGTCCCAAAAAGACTTTTTTCACGAATTCCGTCAATAATTTGCATATTTTTCGTTTTAAAGGGATGGCGACATCAATGTGGAAGATTTTACAGTAATGTAATTATCGTTTTTGATGAATTCCAATCAATCATTTGCATAATTATTTCATTTTAAAGGGATTGTGACACAAAACTCGTCCCTTAAGACGATTTCACGAATTCTGCTCGATAATTTGCATATGCTTTGTTTTAAAGGGATCGTGACTAGAGTGAGGGAGCGGCAGGCCTCCTCAGGCTTTCTTGGGCCGAGTTGCATTTCCGCGCCTGCCGACGCCTGGCGGAAGCCTAAGGATTTACGCAGGCTTTTTATGCAATGCGTAAAAACATGTTAATCTGGTTACTGCATCTAAAACGTTCGTATCTTTGACGCAATAACAAATTACAAGGATGCCGAAGGTGGGAAAACTATAGGCGAGATGTCAGGAGAGCCAATTGGATCCCCCGCCGGTTCGAACCGACTCTTGGCTTTTGTCTATCCGCGTGCTATTAACGTATCGTGTCGTAAGGTTTGTCAAAAACAGTAACCTAACTTTGTAGAATATTCTTGGACCCAATACAGCTGTTCGACCGACCGGAAGCTTAAAAGAATTCCTTATTTGTTCGGCAAAACTTCGAATATTCTACGACTTTACATAAAATTCCCAGATAAAGCCTGACTAATTAGAGGTCAGGCGTACTTTGCATAGCCCAGGCTCAGCCTAGGCGATGCCAATTAAAAAAGCCTGAGGAAGCCTAGGCAAGCCTAGGCTTTAGCCTAGGCCTCCCTCACTCTAATCGTGACACCTAGTTTGGTCCAGAAAGGACTTTTGAAACTTTCCTATCAAAAATTTGCATAATTTTTACGTTTTAAAGGGATAATGTCACCAGGTTTGGTCCCGAACAGACGTTTTTTTCCGGAATTTCGCTTGATGATTTGTAACTTTTTCCTTTTAAAGGGTGACATCAAAGAATTCTGGATGTTTGATGAATTCCAATCACTAAATGTTATTTTTAGCCTTTAAGGGTGTGGCGACATAGCTGATTGGTCCGAAAAGGCGTTTTGTAATCCATTACGGTGCATAATTCGCATATTTTGCGTTTTAAAGGGATGATGACACAAAAGGCAAGCCTGAAAATACGAAACCCACGGAATTTTTTCAGAAACTAGAGCGAACTTTGAGCCTAAAAAGGAAGCGCGCCGTTTTAAGACTCCTAGTTGCCATTTTTTACTTTTAAGGGAGTATGCCATCAAAATAAACAGAAATCCTTACCTGAAGCCACCTTATTTCCCCTTCTCCTTCAGCTCCTTGACGGCCTTGATGTAGGGGACGAGGGCGGTTAGGGGTTTGGCACGAGAGATGAAGGGGTGGGCAAGAAGCTCTTGGGTGTCTGCTCGGCAGTCCGGGTCCACCACTAGGCATCTGAAAAGGGATTGGATTAATCGGAAGATTAGCGGTTAAACAAAAAAAATTAGCATGTGAACGTTTTTATGGTGATAAAAAACGGACCTGTCCAAGAAGTGGACGAATTCGGTGCTGAGCTCGTTGCGCTTCTTGATCTCGGGTTTGCCATTTTGGGCGATCAGGTAGATGGCCTGGAAAGGAAGGGATAGAGAGAAATAGATGGAGAGATAAGGAGAGAGAGGGAGAGAGAGATAGAGCGAGAGAGAGAGAGAGAGAGAGAGAGAGAGAGAGAGAGAGAGAGAGAGAGAGAGCTAGAGCGAGACAAGTAGACGACGTTCGTCCAAGGCGAACAATTCAGAGCCATCCAAATTTGGAAAAGCGGAGAGCGATAGAGAGAGAGAGAGAGAGAGAGAGAGAGAGTAGCTCGATTCCATACCTTCAAAGGCGTCTCATGTAAATACGGCGGTTCCCCATCGATCATCTCCAGCGCCATAATCCCCAGTGACCAGATATCGACCTTGTAGTTGTACTTCTTCTTGTTGAGGATCTCCGGCGACATCCAATAGGGTGTCCCGACCACCGTATCACTAAAACACACCCAATTACGATAATTCCCAAATGCTCACCGCTTGCTGCCGGGCTGAATCTGGGCGCAGAAGCCCATGTCGGTCAGCTTGACGGCGCCGTCCATGCCGAGGAGCACATTGTCGGACTTGATGTCGCGGTGCACGATTGAGTGCCTGAAAGTAGAAGTTCAGCGTGTTTTTTGCTTGTCTTGCGAGTTCCTTCAAAATGGTCATTAGTAGCGAAACGTACTCGTGCAGGAAGTGAAGTGCTCGTAGGCATTCCCTCAACACTGCCGCGATTTGACCCTCGTCCAGCTCGGTCTTGACGACGACATCGGTCAGGTTTCCGCCCTAGATATGCATTTTTAGGAGTGGGTGGTTTTTTAGGCGTCGGCGTTTTTCGTACAGTCACACACTATAGCGTACTGTACGAGACCATACTGTAGCGTACCGTATCTTACTGTATTGTACCGTACTCCTGATTACGGTAGAAAAGCGTAACTTTATCGAATTTTTACCTCCAAATAGTCCATGACCACCCAGAGGTCGTCGGCGTCGACGAGGTATGACTCGATGTAGTTGACCAGGTTCTGAAAATCGGGTTTTATTAGGTATCTTTCTCTCTCTCTCTCTCTCCCCCTCTCTCTCCCTTACCGGATGCTTATACTGCTGCATGACTTTAATCTCAGTCAAGAGCATCTCCTTCTTCGGCTGCGACTTGAACGCCATCCTCTTCACGGCCACCACATCCTGACATCCCCGTCGCGTGGCCACGAATACGGTACCCGAGGCACTGAATAGGAACTGAATTCAGGCGACAAAAATCCCTTACCCGACGCCAATCTGCCGTTTCGTCTCGTACTTGTCGAGCGGGTTGCCGGGGTTGACGATCTGGCGCAGCTCTTCCAGCACCTAAAAATTGTCGTTTTCTGCTTTGAATTTACGTTTTAATAGTTTAAAAAGACATTTTAAAGGGCCATTGAAGCGTAGTGTCTGCTTTTAACGGGCATCCGAGTAAGAATCTATGGATTTTCTGCCTTCCTGATCCCTTTGAACCGCCAATAAAGGCTATGGGAGGGTAATCCCGGTTTTTAAAGGGGCATTGAAGCATAGAATTGAATTTTAAAGGGCCATTGAAGTCAGGTTCCTGATTTAAAGGACCGCTGAAGTCACAATCTCTGGATTACTGTTTTCCTAGTCCCGTTAAGCTGCTGATAAAGGCGATAACAGTGTAGAATCTATCTTTAAAGGGCCATTGAAGCATAGAATTCGATTTTAAAGGACCAGTGAAGTCGGATCCCTGGTTTAAAGGAACACTGAAGTCAAAATCTATGGGTTTCCTGCCTTCTCATTCCCTTTAAACCCCTCCAAAACCCACCTCTCCATCGCTCATTTTCCGGCTGTGAGCCTGGGCCTTCTGCTCCTTCGGCTGGCTCCTCACCCTCACCGGCTCGTTCTCGTCTTTTGGCGCCGCCGGGAGCCGCCCATTCTGCTGAGCACCAACTTTCTCCGAGTTTTCCTTCTATAAAAAGGGCAGAAAGTTTATTATTTAAATTTTAAGTCAATAGCCACTGCTGACGTGTTAGTATCAGCTGAAAAACTTTGTAAACTTTATTTACTTTTTGTTAAATTAATTAAATAATTTTTGCTGACAACGGGTACGAAGCATACAGGCACATTCGGGCAAAGCGATTTGTTTAAGCCAGGCATTGGGTACGGCGGGTTACGGTAGGGTACGGCAGGGTACGGTAGCCGGAGAAAAACATAAAGTTTCGCAAAAAGCAAAAAATTTGCCACGGCCGGGGGTCGAACCCTGGCCTTGTGGATGACCGGCAAACACACTACCAATTCACCAAAACATGATATTTTTCTATAGTTTCGATGCAACTTAATAAGCTTAAAACCCTATTTCTAGTTTATCATAAAACCTCTAACAATTATAATTTTTACTGGAAAATGAAACATTTCAACGTTTTGAACATTTTGCGGATTTATAAAAATTTATAAGCGAGACATTACGGTAATTTTAATTCAAAACATGGCAAAGGCTAATGGCTTTTATTATTTACAAAGGCCAGGAAAAAGTATTATAAAAGTATGCAAATTTGAACTTTGTAAAAAATGTCAGAATTTCGTAGTGTATCTTAAAGGTAAAAAAACTACGGTAATTATTCAGCAAATCAGGATCAAATAGGATGAATTTTATTACTATCTAACAATTGCCAAATATGCTATCAAAAACTTTATAAAAAATCGTTTAACAATTTTAAAAATTACGGCTTTGCTGTGGTTTGACGTAATGCAACGTAGTCGATCGTACTCTACCGTACTCTACCGTAGCCCACCGTACATTCAATACAAGCAATATTTCCGGACTCACATTGGAGTGTCTCGGCTGTTCCGGGTCGACGTCATCTGATGTGGTTGAGGCGACACTTCCGTTGGAAAGGGAGTGGCCGATGGAGTTCTGATCGGAATGGACTGTCTTCACAGCCACTTGACTCAATGGACCAGCCAAGCCGGTTGATGAAGACTGCTTCAGGTGCTGAAACGAGACACCACAATCACAGGCCAGAATATCGAGAGAAATTCCTAATACCATACACCGGGGAATTTTGGGATTTTTGTATTTTTTTAGATTCATTTCGGTATCCAATTTTAAAGAAACTCGCCAGTTTTAATCTATCGTAACATCATTACCGTAACCTCATTCCCGTAATCGAACAAAAAAAAGGAAAAAAGACCATTTTATATTCTGTTTTAGATTTTTCAAAAATCATTTTGGAACCTGGTTTTAATGGAAAACACCAGTTTAAAGCTAAAACTGCGCTACAATAACCTAGCTACCGTAAGCTAATAAAAAATTCAAAAAATCGCTTTTCGAACATTTTTAAAGGACCATTTAAGTCAGAATCTACAGTTTCCGTGAGAAAAACCTCAAATATGTTAATTAGATATCAATATTACAGTAAGCATCCCCTTCCCAATAATTTTAAAGGTATTTGTAAGCCTAAATCTGCAGTAAACCTGGCTACAGTAATCCGGCAAGAATAAATAAAGATGCGGCCATAATTAGCAGAATTTCGCCAATAAAGTATTCATATTTTTAAGGCTTTGCGGTACCGTAATTTCGTAATTATCGTACTTTAACAATAGATTACGACATTTTTTCCCTTACGATTTCCTTTAAAACCATTTTTTTTTCTTTAAACTTTTTGTAAAAAGTTTTGTAACCTATTAAGTTTCGTAAAACCGGAATACAGTACCATACCAGGATTGTGTTGGCTTTTAAACCAATTTTCTAGCTTTAAAGGCCCATTAAAGTCAGAATCCACAGTAACCACTCCGGTACGCACCATGAACTCATTGTTGATGTGGTTGATGTAAAATGCCCACGGGGACAGCACGCTGAATGTCGGCGCTTTCAGCGACGAGTCGAACATGGTCAGGGGATAAAGGGCCGTTGAGGACTGGCCGGGTGAGCGACGCTACACTCCTCGGGACGGGGTATCGGGAGGCTCCAGGGTGATTGGGGGGATGGGGGCTGAATTGGGGACGAGTTGAAGCTGCTACGAAGCTGAATAATGCAAAGAGCAAAAAATTTGGCGAAACGGAGAGAAAGAGAGGGATAAAGGGAGAGCGAGAGAGCGATATAAAGAGAGAGGGAGAGAGAGAGAGAGAGAGTAAAAAAAAGTGAGAGCTAGCAAGATATCGCAAATTCGCCCGTTTGAGAAACTGAGTACGAAATACGCCTCCTTACAGCCGGCAGATGGCCGCACGAAAACTTGTGCAGCAAAAACTCTGGCCGGGGGCCAGGTGAGTGACCTCATTTTGCATGGGGAGCTCGAGTTGGAGCTCAGAAGGAAGAGAATGACGGCTCAAACCGGTTCAAAAAGAGCAAAAAGGTTTGAAAACGCAAAAAAACTGTTAAAAATTGTCTAAAGGGCCATTGAAGTCAAGTTTCGATAGTCAGGGAGAGAGAGTGAGAGAGAGAGAGAAAGAGAGGCAGTCGATGGAGAGAGATAACAAGCCCTCCGAAACCATTCAAAAAAAACTCGAATTCCCCCACCGACTCAATCAGTGGGTGGCCTTGAAAAAGCTGGTGCTCCCCCTAGGGGCTTCAGGGTAACGAGGTAGAGGAAAGAGCAAGAGAAGAGGAAAGAGGAGATGACGATGATGCCGTTCGTGTATGTATTCTCCTCCTCCCCTCCTTCTTCCCCCTAATCGGGGTGGCCGGTTTCGTGGGGGTGTGCTGTGGCTTGACTTGAAAGCTAACATACACCGCCACCTACCAAACCCCCCTCTACCGTTCCGCCCCCCCCCCCTCAGCTGTTCGCCGCGCGGAGTGTTCCGGAATTTTGCCGGGGGTAAATACGTGCGAACAGCGCGGCTGTGCGATTTTTGGTCGTCTGGATGCGAGAGAGCGAGAGAGAGAGAGAGAGACCGAGAGAGAGAACGAGCACGAGCGAGAGAACGAGCACGAGCGTGAGAAAGATACCTTGAAAACGCTCCAGCTTCAGGAATTTCTACCATCAATCATAACCAAAAGCCCGACAATCAGGAGCGCGAGAAAATACGGGCGTCTAGTCTGAGCGTCACCTCTCGGGAAGGTGAGCAAGAAACGTGGAAAAGAGCATAGGAGCACCAGCTCCCCGCAGATGGGTGCTGAATGTGAGCCTTATCTCTCTTTCTCTCTCTCGCTCTCTCTCTCTCACTCTATCTCTCTCTCTCTCTCCATCTCAAATTGTCGAAGGTCAGCAAAGGGGTGTGGGAATGATGGCCGGGGTGGGGCCGTTTTGAGCGCTCCGTATTTTCTCCGGAATTTTTCCCCAATTTGGGGGGGGGGGGAAGCAGCTGGGAGCTTTTTGTTGGTAAATTGCCATAATAGTAAAAAAGGCGCGGAATAAAGTACGTAAACATGCAAACTACAGTACCTAGGGTGGATTTTGAAAAAGAGCCAAGAAGTCGGGAGCTCGATGATTCGTTTTGGAGGCCGCCCTACTTTTCGCGGGCTATAATAATGGGTGCGAGATTTCGAGAGAGAGAGAGAGCGAGAGAGAGAGACAACGATCGTGAGAGAGACAAAGATTGAGAGGGAGAGCAAGAGAGGTCCGTAGAGAAAAATAAATATGAAAAAATATGAAAAATAAAAATGGTGATTTCCCGGTTAATTTAAGACAGATTTTACAACAAGAGAGACGTGGGGAGACAGAGAGTGAGAGAGAGAGACAGAGACAGAGAGAAAAGGGGGAGAGAGAATGATAACTACTTTAAAACCCTTTAAACCCTCGAAAAACGGTAAACCATATAGACAACAGGGGGCGAGACCGATTGGCAGACAATCTACCCCGCTCGCCCCCGCTGTCAATTATCATTCGGGGTGAAGAAGCTGATTGGTGGGGGGTGGGTATAGCCTGCGGGCATTCTCGAAGGTCATCCCCGGCGAGAGAGAGGGAGAGAGTGAAAGAGAGAGAGAGAGAACGATCCCCTGCTCGTTTGTGTGTGTTTTTCGGCTTTACCCCTCCCGTTTGCAATGAAAATTTTCGGGCCGTCAATGCCAAATATTGGGGTCATCTATATGGCATTATCATAGTGATGTGATGACGCCAACAAAGGAATGAGGAAATGCAGAGAAAATAAGTAAAAATATGTGCTCGTGCTCGGTTTTTTGGGGGCTAAAGGGACAAGCAAGACAAGCATGGCTATGGATATTTGACGCGCCGCTTTAAGCTACGGATCCGCCTCGTAGCCGCCAGAAAACTTAATGGATTAAGCAATGCAATGACGGACGAGTGCGTTCCGTGTCGCTGCGCGCTGAAATCTATAGCAATCCATAAGGGAAAATTCCATAGTTTGCCATTAAAGTACTTTTAAAGGGCCGGTGACGCCATCACGGGAGCTATTCTAGCCCCGGGACTTATGCAAAAAAGAAGCCATAAAAATCCTAGTAATTTTTATAGAACGTTTAATTCAACTTTGGTCTAGCGGAAAGCAAAAATCTGCCAAAAAAAATAGAGAAATCACGATAAACATCACTGTAAAACGGGGGGAAATGCCAATTTTCATTTATAAAAGATTCGAGGCGATTTTTCCCATTTTTTAATGTTATAAATAGCTTAATTATAACTTAAAAAACGCGCATTGCATCGCAATGTCAAAAAATTAGGCTTGAGGTAGAAAAATAATAAAGATAAGGGCAAAAATTCATAGGAAGACGCTTGGAAAGGTGGTGTTATTCTCGCAGGGTTCAAAGTCTGTTGCCCCTAAACAATGGACACTTTACCGTAGTGGGAAAATGAGTGAAGGTGAGGGCAGAATATAGCCGGCAGGCTGTGTGTGAAAAAAAGTTAATGTGAAAGAGTGGCCTGGGCGGGGGGGGAGAAGCCTCCTTGTTTCGATAGGTAGAGTAATGGGGAAGAGAGAGAGAGAGAGAGAGAGAGAGAGAGAGAGAGAGAGAAAGAGAAAGAGAGAGATACACCTAGCAAGCATCATTTTTTCGACGCTTCGGAGGGTGTTGGATGGATGGAAGTGAAGACAGAGGAGAGCCAGCCGGATAGTCAGACTCCCCCTCCCACCCCATTCTCCCCCGTCTAATCTAATGCCGTATGCTGGGCCGGCTGGCAAACCGGAATCCCGTAAAGTTTTAGGGATATTTCCAATCACAAAATACTGCAAAATTTGAATTTTTTTATGGGCCTGAAATATTCGAAATCGCTCGAAATTTCGTAAAAATTAACATAGTCAAATTTCGATTTTGAATAGGCCGAATAAGCTAGAAACCAAGGGTTTCGACAAAACTACTGACAGGCGCAAACCCTGAAATTTTCTCCAGCAAAATTTAGATTTTTTTAGCCCGGAAATAGCTAAAAAATACCTCAACATTTCTCGAAAATGGTTGTAAAATTAGAATAACCCAAAAAATTCGAAACTAAAAATTTTTTTAAAGAAAGTGCAAGCGAGAAATGGAGCGTTTTCAAAGAGAAATCACCAAGATTTGGAGCGAGAAAAGGCGGAATTTTTCTCGACTCAGAGGTGAGACCGGGAAACCCCCGGAAAGCTGATGGGCAAACTGCGCAAAGTGGCCCAGGTTTTGAACCCTGCGCGTCTTAAGACCCCAGAAAATCGAGAAAAGCAGACGGAGCGACGCTTAAAAATTTAGACCGTAACAGACTTCGCGCAAAAGCTGAATTTTCCAAAGAAAAGCGAGCCGCTGAAATCGGGAAATTGGATTAGAAATCGCTGGATTGGCAGGTTGCCAGAACCGGAAAAGGCGACGGAAAAAGCGAATTTACGGCAGTGTAGACTTAGGGAAACCAAAAATTAGAGACTATAGTTTTAAAGGAACATTGAAGGCAAAAATTGTCCCCTTAAATATTCAAATTGAAACTTTTTAATAGGTTAATTTGTCTAGAAATAACGTCTAGAGTTTAAGTTCTTCAAATAAAGTCATTTTCACGGTCTGTTAAAGGCAAAGAATTTCTTAATCTTCAAAAATTGCGAAATTGGAGCTAGAATTCCCAATTTTGTGAAAATTAGGATTTTTCTTTTTCAAGCTTCCTTTTCAAAAATCAAATATTAACGCAAAACTATAATCGACAAACTACAAGAAAGTCTTCAAAAAATTCAATCCCAATTTAAAGGGCCATTGAAGGCAAAATCCGGTCCAAAAGCCAAAGTGTCAGGGTGAGATCGGTGTTGCTAGTTTCGTTCCGGAGATCGCAATCTCAATCTCCCCCAGGTTCAAGTGTGCCAAATTGGGGTCGCTGGCAGACTGGCAAAAAAGTCAGGGGAATCGAGACGCCACAATTTGAAGTGGGCGATTTTCCGCCGGGGGAAGGAAATTTCCATCTGTGGCCGACCAAGGCCAACGAGGAAGTGTGTCTGCCTTTGGAAGCGAAGAACGCTCTTAGAATCCCTTAGAATCCCATCGACAACGTGATGGCCATTGTACAGTCGCGTACACACACACGCGTATACAGTATTTGCATATCGCCACAAGGGGGGCCTTTTAGAACGAGAGAGGGAGAGAGAGAGAGAGAGAGAGAGAGAGAGAGAGAGAGAGAGAGAGAGGATGTTTTTTGTTGTGCGGTGGAACGGCCCGGAGGGGAAAGTGATCGGGGGCGAAAACCAAAAAAAACTGGCTTTCTTGCAAAATGGCGTTGCAAGGGGGTGGTTTTAAAGGGACAGGCAAGTACGGCGAAATTCTAGAAACGCCAAACAACGTAAAAATACTACTTTAAAGGTCCCAGCAAGTCAGAAAACTGAAAAATTTACAAAAACAGTTTCATGGCTCAAGGAATTTCAAAATCTCTAAAAAAACACGAAAAAAATTACTTCAAGGGGGGTCGGAAAGTCCCAAAAATTCCTACAACTGCTTTAAAATGATAAAATACAAGTTTTAGCGGTGCTCGGAATTACGGTAAAATCGCCAAGAAGCCAAAAAACCCTCAGAAAATCGACCTTAAAGGGACCGGAAAGGTACGGTAGAACCCTCAAAACACCAAGAAAAAGCGGAAACGCCGCGATCGGACGCTCAAAATGAGCCATCTGGCTGCTAAAACGCACCCTTTTGGCAACTTTCCCGCCTGGGGGAACGCGCTGATGACCGTATCGGACTGCCGTAAACCCAGTTTTTTGCCAAAGTCGGCCACGCACCGGCCCGGGGGTTCTACTAAAATGTGCCCCCGGGAACGGCAGCTCTACGGTAATTTGGAGCGTGACGTAGCGTGCCATTGTGACGCAGCGTTGTTTAGGGTTTAGCGGCCGGGGGTTTCCGGTTTTAACGGGGCTGTGAAGTCGGAGGATTCTAAGGATTTTTTCGAATTTCCGAAACTTTTTTGTATGAAAATAGAAATGGCATAACAAATAGTAATTGTTTAAGGATATTTTCGTAAAATTTAGGTATATATTTAAGATGGAAAACTATCTAAAAGCTTTTTAAAATTGGAAATTTCTAAATTTTGTCGAAAATCGACATTATTATTTGTTCGGGAAATCGATATTTTTGTCATTTTTTTGATTGAAATATTTACGGTCTTCCGTTTCTGGAAAGTTAAAACGGTTTAAAAAGTGCTTTATCCACATTTTAAAAATTTGATACAAAAGAAAAGGTTGTCTTCGCTCGGACAGCCCCCCCCGATAGTGCAAAAGTACCCAAAAATTATGGGAATGCCGCAACGCGACCGCAACGCTAAGAGAACCCATATTCTTTCTTTAAAGGAATTCCGAGAACGTGAGAAATCTCTAGTATCCTAGTCAGCACAAGAATCCACCCCCCAAAAAACCGATGAGCAGCAGCAAAGTGTCGAGAACGGGCGGGTCGTAAATTGTCGATTCTGGGAAGGGGGAAGAAGTAATCAGTTGTGAGTTGTCTTCTCCTCTACTGTCAATTGGGAGTCTCGCGGAATGGGGGGAGGGGGAAGACTACGCAAATGGCCTATCGCCCCGTCTCACCCCTGTGCACCAAACGGCTAGGTTAGGCTAGGGGCGCAAGAAAAAGGAAGTACCAGGGACTTTAAGGAATTTTTGAAGAGATTTTCGATGCAAATTCGGCTGTCAAAAATTTTTAAAATTTGAGAAAATCCCGTAATTTGAAAAACTGTTAAAATTCAAATTTTTCCAAATCTTAATTTTTGGTTAAATTTTGTCATTTTTTACTTGTTAAAAAGCACATTCCTGGTATGGTTGCTGTATTTTAATATGTATTTCGATAGGCTAAATCCCCAGTAAAAATCCAAAATATTCAGCTCTCAAAAATGAATTTTTGATTTTTAGAACTTTTAAAATCTTCGATGCCTGATTTTTTTTATTTTTATAACGGTTTGATAGCCTGATAACTGTATTTTAAACAGGTTTTTCAAGCCCAGGATTCCCAAAATAACAAGATTTTAAAAATTCTAAAAACCCGAATTTTTCGAAATTTTTATACTTTCAAATTTTCGCTAATAAATTAATGCTTAAGCACAATCCTGGTATGATTACTGTAGTTTTAAAGCTCTTTTTATGCTAATTTTACGTTAATTCCCGACCGAAAATAATAGCTCGACACGACACATAGGAAAAACGAGCCGGTAGCAGCCGCAACAGCGAGCCAGCGATAGAAGGGAGAAGATGCGGACAAACATTATGCGCAAGCAAATTTTTTCCATGTGATTTTTAGGGTGCTCGTAAGGTGTACTGTAGCGTACAGACCGTAAAAATAAAAAAGAGCTTAAAACTCGACTTACCGCGGGTTTGGGCGGAATTCGCGGCGGGACCCGGGGTGGCTTGATGGCGGCTGCGGCTGGGGGTGTTGCTGCTGCTGCCGTTGTTACGGGGAGTGTTGGGGCGATGGCTTCCGGTTCGGAGGAGCCGTTTGACTGGAAAAACACGGGTTTAAAGGGACCGGGAAGTGAAAACACTGGTCGATCTATCCGGCGAAATTTGAAAACTAGCCTGAAAAATTTATCCTCAAAGTCTGGAAAATTTTTGATTTTGGTTCATTATGGCTCGATTCTCCCCAAGAATCTTTGCTAGCCTACAAAACTACCGTAATCCAGCAACGTTAAAGGAACGCAGAAGTCAAAATCCGACCCCAAAAAGCTTGGCAACTCGCCGAAAAGACTAAAAATTCACGTAGTTTCCTAGGTTTAAAAAATTTCCTCAAATACCTGGGACTAGCAAGCCCCCCAGGCTACAGTATGCTAGTGATCTGAACGGGATCGTAAAATCAAGAAACTTCTTGAAACACTCAAAAACCCCAAAAACCCCAAAAACTCTCGAGCGTTGCAGGGACCTTTTTTCGAAAACTGCTGATTTGTGCATTTTCAGAATTTAGCTAATTTCCCCAAGGATCACTGCTAGTTGCCTCCCTAACTACCGTAATCCTCACCTTCCGCTCGTGCCTTTGCGGTGGGATTGGTGGGGGTTCCCTCCTATTTTGGGACCTCGGCGCGACGGGTGGCGGGACTGGAGATGATCCATTTGTGGCGGGGGCGGGGCTAGGGGCCTAAAAACGTTTTTAATATAGTGCTGTAACTCTGTGAATTGCGGCATTTTACTACCGTAAACTACCGTAACCCACACAAAAAAACCTACGTCTCTTTCCGAGAGCGAGGGATTTGTGGAGGAGCTGGGGACACTTCGGGTGCTGCTCGAGGAGGAGGCTGAAATCGTACAATTATAGTTATAAATACGTACTGTAAGCTTTTTTATATTTGTGTATTTTAGTTATTAGTATATTACCGTAACCAAGCCATACAGACCAAAAAAACTTACGAGATTTCACATCCAACGCCCGTAGATGTTCAGTGACCTGGCCGTCGAGCTGTATGTCGACGTCGTCCTCATCTGAGGCCATGTATACGCCTGAAAATTGGAGCTGTAGTTTGTAGTTTGTTGGTTTTGATCTTTTAAGGGGGCTCACGGCCCCATAACTGTCACGATAGCGCAGATTTTGCTCTTAAGGGACAGCGACACCAAGAAGGACGCCAAAAACCCACTTTTCGGCGTCATGAACTTGGCCTGCTCGTGCTCCTTGAGGCTGGCGGCGTAGAATTTAAGAGCGGTCACGACGGCGGTGGGGTTTTTCTTCTGGTCGGCAAGGCTGAAAATGAAAGGTGATAATGTAATTCAGCTTTTCGGAAAATCGATAAATCCGCGAAAATTTTGCCTTCCAAGTTCCTTTAAAACCAGATTTAACAGACTTTTAGCGCACGAAACCGGGAAATTTTGCAGCTTTTCCCAAAACCAAAAACTCTGCCTTTCAATCCCTTTAAAAGCGCTGTTTAAGAAACTTAAAGAAACCGGAAATCCAGAACCTTTTCAGTCTTCCCAGAACTCCATAAATCTGCAGAAACCGTGGCTTTCCAGTCCCTTTAAAATCCACCCCTCCCCCCCGCCACCCCAGCTACCGTACCTAATATCCCTCAACAGCATGTCCATCCACGGCTGGGGTAGCCCGCTGAATTTTTGCCCATCGTAGCCGACGTGGATTCGGTGTACTGTCAAAGTAAAGTAATGTAACGTACTCGAAAATTTCCATACCTGTATTGTACGGCTTTCCTATCGACACCCCGCTATTCGGCGAGATCTCAGCCGTTTTATCGGATGGCGAGAATATCCGGCCAAAAAGGTTCCGGATTTTCACCTGGAAAAGGTTGGCATACGCCTTAAAAAGCTTCCAACTTACCGCCTTTTTCTCCTTGGGGGTGCTCATGTCGCTGGGCATGGCGTAAGTAGAAAGATTACGGTAGTCAGGCAACTTTTAGAGAGCGAGTTTTGACGATATTCTAGAGATTCTTGGGCATCACCGTGGCTTCTGAAAAAAATAGATTAAAATCCGATAGATAGAGAGAGAAAGAGCGCGAGAAATATCGAAATCGAGAAAGGGCGCGAGAACGAGAGATAAATGGATCGAGAGAGACAGAGAGAGAACAGCGAGAGACCGTGAGAGAGCATAGTGGGCGAAAGCGTTAGCAAAATAGAACAAGAAGCTAATCCCGACAAAAGCTAGAGAGAGAGAGAGCGAGAGAGAAAGAGAGAGAGAGAGAGAGAAAGAGAGAGAGAAAGAGAGAGAGAAAGAGAGAGAGAGAGAGAGAGAGAGAGAGAGAGAGGAAAGAGGAGTAATCGTCAAAACCAAGCCAGAACCAGTCATAAAGTCAATAGAAAACAGAAGCGATACCTCCAGGGCAAATTCCCGACCTGCGGATTTTCCGGGATATGGATCGAGGGGGAAACTGGTTAATAATCGAGGAACAAAGAGAGTCAAGAGAGAGAGAGAGAGAGAGAGAGAGAACGAGCGAGAACGGCAGAGAGCATGAGAGAAACATAGGGGCCAGAGCGAGAGGAAAATAGAACAAGAAGCTAATCCTAAAAAGAGCTAGAGAGCGAGAGAGCGAGAGAGAAAGACAGAGATACCTGTCAATCGTTGTCAAATAATGAAAATCAAACCATTCTATATAAATAGCTATTTCCACACACATTGTTACGCGCGCACCTCCGGTGACGGATGAAATATAGGGTGTTGAGAGGGCGAGAGAGCGAGAGAGAGAGAGAGAGAGAGAGAGAGAGAGAAAGCCAGGGTATGTGTGTTAGTCAGCCAGCTGGAAGACGGGTGGAGTAGTGGACATCAATAGGAGAGGGCGAGAGAGCGGTGAGATTGCAGAGAGACAGAGGGCGAGAGAGAGGGTGGAACGGGGTGACTCATCCCCATTCCGGACATCGGACACTTCTTGTTTCCTCCGCGGGCCCTGTTTTCTGGATCGGCGAATTGGATGGCTAATCGGTTTTGTTTTCAGGCCAGGAAACAGGAACCATCGAAAAATATAAAAAAATTATAATCTGTTGATTTTAATTAATAAAAAAATTCTTAAATTAGAATTTTTTTAATTCTGAGAAAAGATAGCCTTTTCAAATTTTCGCAGCTTTTTTGGGTCCATTTTAGCTTCAGCTAAGAAGAAGATTAACTAAGATTGAAATCAGCACTTTACAAAATATTGTAAATTTTAATAACAACCCGAAACTACCTTCAAATTGGTATTTTTAGCCCAAAAAAAATGATTTTTTTAATGTTTTTTATAGCCAAATACATTTCAAAAACTCCTGGAAATTTTATCAACTGGAATTTATATAATTTGAGGGTATAAAAATAGATTAAAAACCACAGGATAAAGAAAAACGAGAAATTGCGATTAGGAACCTTTTTCTTTATTAAAAATCAGATCAAAGCCGCTGAAAAATAATTTGAAATTGCGTTTTCGCCTAAAAATATGAATTACAAAAATCGATCGATTGCTGGCGTTCGGAATCAGGAGAAAAAGAGTTCAGAGAAGAAGAAGCTGTCCAAGGCGCCGGGCGGTGCGGAACAGAGTGGTTTATCAGGTGGTCGGGGGGCAAAGGGGGTGGCAGATTCCGACAGACCCTACTACGACAGAATACAAACAACGGATCGGCGGGAAGAGGAGTGGAAGAGGGGATGGGCCGGTCCTGTATTCGCAAACCAAAAGGGACCGAGGGATGGGAATGGCCTGGGCTGGCCAAGAGCTGAGCCGAGCTAGCAAAGTTGGCTGAATTTGAATACTGCTTAAATTGCATCTAACAGAAAATAAAAATGTTGTTACGGTCACATTTACTGATTTACGGCTGAGAAAAAAAAGAGTCACCGCGAAAAAAAATGAAAAAGTAGCCGGGGGGCGAGGTAGAGACAAAGAGAGCGCGAGAGAGAGCGCGAGAGAGAGGCGGGAGAGAGATACTGCAAAAGATAGTGAGAGCTAGAGAGCGAGAGAGAGCGAGAGAGAGAGAGAGAGAGAGAGAGAGAGAGAGAGCGAGAGAGATTAATTTGCGTATTTATGCAGCTCATATAGATAATTTAAAAAAATCACGAGAAAATGATGCCAGGAAGCACCTAGTAAAATCCGTCATTATATTTTGACACACAAACAAATTCCCTTATACTTTTTTAGGGCTTTATAGATGAATAACCTTAAACCAGGATATTACTTTTTATGGTTCCTTTAAATCGGCAAGCAGGAGTCGACTTTCCTATGCGCGACACGCAACGCGTAAGCCCGCTTTTCCGTGGCGTAATGGATCGTGACAGCGACACGCAACGCGCAGACCGCGACGAAAGCATGGTGCGTTGCGTATCGCGGTGAGGTAAAAATTCAAAAGAACGCGTTGTTAAGTGTAGTAAAGTGTAAAAAAATCCCTAATGCCTTGTCTAGTCCTTTAACGAATAAAAGCGGCTAAAAAAGGCCAAAGCTACTTCTGCCACAAGATCAACCTGATCAGCCGGGCCGGCCAGGTTGATCGATGTGGCCCAAAGCCAATGAGAGAACGCGAGAAAAAAAAACAAAGAAAGATGACTACAAAAAAGTGTCCCTTGGCCCGGGCCCCAAGACGACACCCCCAGAGCAGCCTCACGCAGAGTTTTCTCTATTTTTCTTTGGCCACAACGGCTGGCTGGCCACACCATCAACCCCCCAAATAACGGCCAATCATCAGGAATTGGCACTGCTTTCCGAGACGCGCCAAATTACGGGGAGAGAATCGAGCATTTATGATGGTGGATCGATGCGGAAAGTTTTTGGGGAAATTGGAAAATTTGAGAGAGGGAGAGACGGAGTGAGAGAGCGAGAGAAAGAGAGTGTGCGAGGGAGTGAAAGAGAGAGACAAAGAGGGAGAGAGAGAGAGAGATAATCATAATTTTCAAAAATACCGAGAATATTTATAGAATTTTTGAAGTATCTTAATGAAATTTAGATCCATTTAAACACCAAAACCTGGAAAATGCGATTTAATTAAAATACACCAAAAACCATCACAAAAAAAATTAAAGTTTTCTAAATCTTGAAAGTTTCGTTTTTCCGCCTAAATCCTACTTAAAAACACTGCTAAAATGTGTTCCAGTACTTTACTACGTGGTTCCGGGCTTATGTAAAAAAATCTGGTGCCCCCGATAATGCAAAAGCTCCTACATTTTGCAGTTAATCGGAGCAAGCCGAGACTCATGCAAAAATAGAATAACGAAGATTTTTGGGCCGAAAAAATCAGAAAAACTGCCCCACAAATCGATAAGGAAACTCCAGAAATTCGGGGAGGCGGCGGAAATAAGGAGTTGAGAATTGAGAATTGGGCGATTTGTGTGTGGGGGTGACTAATTGGCCGGGACACCCCGGTGGGGTGGGCAGTCTATTTGTCATACTGATATGGCTGCTGAGGAGGTGGTTAGGGAGGGCAATGTATCAATTCCATATGGCAAATTCTCTTATACAAGAAAAAAATGAAAAAGCGAGAAAAGGCCAGAAAAGGAGAAAAGTATAGGAAAAACGGGAGAGCAAAAAATCACCTGCAAAAAATCGTCCATCTCATTAAAAACTTTCGCAATCGATTACGCTATGATAAACTAGGAAACATTCTTTTGATAAACGCAAAAAGGACCATATAGTTCGACGTAGTAATTTTACACATTAAAATAAGGAAACGAAAAATAACGACCAGAAAGCGGTGATTGCTTCAAAGAAAACCGCCCGTATCGATCGAATACGCGCTGAAATTCCTTATCAACCGGGGGGCACGATATCGGAACGATACCCCTGCGCACTAATGAAACGTGGAAATAACGATAACGAGTTTATGGCTATAAAACCGGATCTTTTCGGATTCAATTATTTGTTTTTGATGAGGCAGTCAGGCTGACGGATGCGTGGCCAGAAAGAAATGGATCATTGGGGGGAGTGAATGGCGGGAAAATTACCACTTTTAAAGTGGGGAAAAGGCAATAAACTGCAATTTTACGCAAATAATGCAAGGCATAGGTTAGTATTAATCGTAGCGGGCGATAGAAAAGATGAACCACAAAAATGGAGCAGGTAGATTTCAACATTCAAAGAAATATGGCTAAAAATCCAAGAAAAAAAATACGTTTAACTACAAACTACGAAAATCTAGCCTAAACCCCCCCTGAAATCCACCCCACCCGGGGTCGGCCGATTCAAATGTGAACCAATTCCTCCAGTACTGGCAGAGAGAGAGACGAGAGAGTGGAGAGAGGAGAGAGGGACAGAGAAAGAGACGGAAAAGAGAGAACCGAATCGATCGATCGGGTTCGACCCGGAGAGTACGTGACACTCCACTACACATAGACATGAACAGGATGTAGAGATGGACAAATGACGAGAGAGAGAGAGAGAAAGAAAGAGAGAGAGAGAGAGAGAGAGAGAGAGAGAGAGAGAGAGAGAGAGAGAGAGAGAGAGAGAGAGAGAGAGAGAGAGGGAAGGGCCCATAATTGGCCCATTTAGCAGCCCAGCACCCCTTCGAATAGATAACCACTTGCTAGGGGGAACGCGCACACGCATGCATCCATGCTAACTAATTGTGTGCCCCAGGGTTATAAGGGCGTTCCGGGACACTTTAAAGGGACGGGCAAGGCATTTTCACGCGCCCGCACACGAAAGGCGCGTCCGTCATTCCATTGCGTAATCGATTACGCATTTTAATGTCCATAATATTGCATTGCGTGTCCCTTAAAAAACCTAAAAGCTACTGACGCACAAAATCGAATTTTTTGAACAAAACCAACTTTTTTAAAGGACTGGTGAAGTCTAATTTAGATATGGATTTCTATGTCATTTTTTTTGATGCGACACGCAACGTGCACGCGATTTGCCGGGCCGTAATTAGTTACGCAGTGGAAAAGCGGACGAGCGCGTTCCGTTAAGTTTTGTCTCA